GCGTGGTACTCCAGTTAGAGCTGTTCTCCGAAGGGAACAGACCTCTTCCCAGGACAGACTGCTTTGCTGTTACCAGTTTGTGCAGGCTTTACCTGCATCTGCTACGTAACTGCCTTGGTTACAAACAGGAAAAACGTGCCACCTGTCAGCAGAGCTTTTCCACCCAAACCTTAGCTTTAAGAAGGCTTGCTGTAGGATGTTTTGTTTCCAGTTTGCTTTGGAATATATACATATATTTCAGTATGCAAGTGTGTAGATGTGTATGTAGGGGTGTGTGTGTGTGTATATGTAAACAATTAAGAATATAATTACATATATTTCCCTTTACATTTGAGCTTGTTCAATAAAACTTCCCAAAAGTTCCTACCTACTGTCCCTGTACAATTTTAAGGGTGTTCTTGAGATGCTAGGTTGCTTCAAGGATCCTTTGCAATTGATGCTGATTATAAGAATCAAGTAACCCAATGAAGAGAGCAGAACTGTGAAAACTTGAGTTACCACAAATGTAGAATGCTATTGTAGCATTGCCATGAAAACTGCCTCTATTTTAAGTTTGGGGGTGTTTTCCTATAACAGTATACCATGATTTTTACTTTACTTTTAAAGAAAAATGAAACTTTTCAAGTGTGCTACTCATGAAATATGAGAAGAGTGTTTGGAGTCTGTGACTGGTTTTAGTAAGAAGAAAATTCTGAAAAATGTGATCATAAATTCAAAATTTAGTTAAGTAATTTTAAAGGTATTGGTTCAGTTGCTTCGATTTAAATATAGTGTCAGGTTTTCATTAATGGAAAAAATCTATTCCTAGAAATACTAAAAAAATGTCAATGGTGGTTTTATTTGTGGCAAAATAATTTTTCTGCTACTACCAGATAATGTTTTCAATTTGCTGGTTAGCTCATTGAAACACGCAGCCTGCAGGGTTCACCACTGGTATTCACAGCCCTTCCTTGTGATCCATTATTTGATTACATACATAACCCTGTGTGTAAACTTATGCATAAACATTCAACAGGGTGTATTTTAAATACTCCACACTGCAAGACTGAAGGTTCCTAATGGGTTAAAAATATAATAACACGAGTAGCCTTTCAAATGACTCTTTGAGAAAGAAATTGCCACTGAGGGTGTTTGTTTGTTTGTTTTTTTCTTGGTTTTGGGAGGGAAGTTTTAGGAATTCTTACCAGATGTACAAAACAGCTGTTTTCAGTATGTTATACAGATTTTGGGGTTAAAAAAAAGGCTGGTATCTTTAAAGTCCTATTATTGTTTACAGCAACTATTTTAGAGTATATATAAGGTTTAACTGGGCAGGTAATAAGACGTATATGAAGCTGAGGAACACAGCAAGTGGTTGCTAAAGCTGGTAGTGGACACAACATTTTCATTCTCTTCAGAGGTACCCTACCTCTGGATTTGTGTTTCTGCTTTTTTGGTCAAAGGCCTAAATTGTTCTAATGCATGCGAAAATACTCAATACATTTCCAAAGGCAGTTCTGTGTAATTCACTGCGTGGGGGAAGAGCCTAAGTTCTTTTGTACTAGAAAATGGCCCCATACTTGGTCCACTTCGGATTTACCACCACAAGATCCTACTGCATGTAGGCTTCCATGTGGTCGAGGGTGTTTTTTTCTGAATTCTGAACAATAATGGATGTGGTATCACAGACTGACAACCATTTTTACTATAAAACATAATAGATTAATTGAATGTTTATTAATAACTGCTATATGCATTGTTAAATGAAGAAATTAATCACCTCATCATTATTACTTCCTAGCACAAACCTCAAGTTAAAGGAAGAGGTGAAGTCTGAAAAGAAGCCAGGTTTTTGGGACAGTTTGGTGATAAAGCAGAATGTCCCATCTAGGAAGCCAGATGAGATTGAGGGATGGGAACCACCGCAGATCACTGCCGCTGACTCTGCCAGCGACGCAGCGACGACTTTAAGTGACTATACAGCCTGGTCAGGCTGGGAAGACGAAACCAAAGGCTCCACAAAATACACAAACCTGGCCAGCTCAGGAAACAGTTCCAGGTGGAGTATCAAATCAGCTGGGAAGCTGGTTAGTATTAGACGTCAAAGCAAAGGTAACCTTACTGACAACTGGGAAGAACTAGAGTGATGCTGGTCATGTGAAATACTCCATAGGTAAGAAAAGAAAGGTTCCATGATTTAAGAAGAGAAAGGTTCCATGATTTACTCATATGTTTAAACCAAAATCAAATCTGCTCAATATTGCACCTTTATACAGTACTTTGTTTTATTCAGATTGTTACAAATTTTTGCTCACCTGATAATAGATTTTCTTATTACATTGTTAAATAGCTTTGTTTTCCACACTGAAAAAAAAAAAAAAGTAGAGAATCTATATTGTGCCTATATTTCACATTCAGATTCTACAGTATGTTGGATTGTTGGTTTTACCAAAAAAATGTAATTCCTTAGTGAATGTATACACTGGTTGTAAATTTGACTGCCTTATGTAGGAACTTCCACTAGCTTGAGGTCCTGTTTCTTTCCTGGTATTTGGGGGCCACTCAGAATCCTAGTTTTGATGCTGTTCCTTTTTAACTAAGGATACTGATCTGTTGCTTTGCAGGGAGAGTGCTTATACTTAGTAGACTGTTTTCCAAATCTTCAGCCTCAGCGTATGCTTCAGCTTGTGCATACAAGACGCTCAACTCTCACCATGTGTCTATACTGTGTATGAAATGGGAAAATACTGTTGTAATGTAATTCCTTCCATAACAGGATCTTCACCAATAGTCAGGTCAAATGTCAAATGGGTCTTCCAGAGTTGTTTTTGTTTTTTTATATTGAACATTGTTTGACCAAGCTAAGCTTCTCAGTTTTTAAGATGCATGTTATGCCAAAAAAAAAAAAAAAAAAAAAAAGAGATTTGAAAATTTGGAAAGCAGCCGTGAGTAGAGTATAAGAAAATCAAGAAAATCTTGATATTCAGTATCTGTAGTTCTGAATCTTAAGGATAAATTGCTTCTTATGGAAGGTCATATATTTTCATTTTTACAATAGCTGATCCTTGTTCTACAAATGAACAACTTTTTTGTTTTGTAGGGTGTTGTTCTTCCCCCCTCTGCCCCATAAGCAGTGATTGGGTTGTACTCTGGCATTTTCAGGGTAACTGAGCCATTGCAAGTATGTGCGTGCACACAGCTCCTGAAGCAATTTTGTTATAAAGCTCCGGCTTGCTAGCTACTGGTATTTTCATCTTTTGGTAAAAGAAAGTGAAGTGTGAAACTTGAGATTTGAAATGTATATAATACTAAAAGTGCCTCTTTCTAGCATATTGTCTCTCATCAGCAGCGTGGCTGATGTCAGATCCAAAGTTAGTTTCCATATTGTTTATATGACCTATATAAATACTGCTTTAACATTCATGGGAAAAAGCAAACCAAAAGTTTCGTAAGACCTAAGCAGCAGGCCTTTTCTCTCCTGTTTGTTAAACTGGTATAGCAGAGCTGAAAACTTGACTGCCTAGCAATATGGCCAGTACAGTTGGAAGATTAAGTCGGCATTTCAGAGGAAAATCAGCATTTTTACAAGAAAGCATGTACCTTTATATAATGGATGTCACGTCAACGATTTTTGCAAGAAGCCTATGCTGCTGAAAAGGGATGCATGCAATTTCCTTCTAAGCTTGTACCTTGTTTCTGTTACTGCCACATTACTCCTTTCTCAGCTCTCTCTTTCTCCTCTTTTCCAATTAATATATAGTTTTCTGGCTTACAGTTCCTGCATAGCTATTTTTTTTTGGAGATTCCTGTTAAGATGTGCCTAGAAGGAAACTGTAGCGAAATGTGTTTTTGTTTTGTTTTGCCTTTTTTTCTGGTATTAATAGATTGTTCTTAAGTTTATATAAAGAAAGTCAGTGTTTTGTGCTATAAACCAGGATCTTGTAACTGGCAAATGTATTTATAAAATTGACATTATATATTTTAAAAAGTACTAATAGAGGAGAAAGGGTGAGCATTTATATCGCATCATTTAGTCTGTGAGTAAACTCTGTATTTGCCTCTGGCAAGTACGTATGCTGAGGTTAATTATGGGAAAGAATGAGTATTCGTGGGTAAAGTATGCTGCATTTTATAGTTTATGGAATACCCTCTAAGGCATGAGCTAGTATTTAGTTTGGTTGTTGGTGCTGACCTAAAAGGATGGAAAAAGATCTGCTAGCAGCCCTCAATATTTTGCTCTCAAAGATGGGCTGAGAACTTTCAATTTCCCTCCTGAAGAACCTATTTATACTGTGACCAGTAAAGGTTTTGCCTTGCACATTATACTGTCAAGTGCCTGTTTCTCACCTTGATGATGTGTTTGATGCACAGCTTAACTGCAACATTTTCCCATTTGTTTTTAAACGTGTGATAAAAATATCCTGAATAAGCCTGTTATAAAACAAAAATGACATCCGAGTGGGGAATTGAGATATGTCAATTTACAGTTTAACTCCTAGTGATGAAAGTTTTGCTGTGCTTCTTAAGTGACATTTCCTCAGAAATAACTGTTCTAAGGATGAACATTATTAAATTTAATATAATTTATTGTTATGCTTTAATAATGTGTTTGTCTTTTGAGAAGTCACTGATGTGAGCTTTTCTTCTCCTATGTTTATAAACTGTCTGAATTTTCAGAATGGGGTCCTCTTTTTCCTTTCCCTTCTTTAGATGCTTAACTACATTAGACATTTACAGGCTTAAGCTGTACACAGCTCCATGTGTGGAATAAGTGTGGAATATGTCCCTTAATATTTGTTCTGAAATTGCATTTCAACCTCTGTGAAATGGTTTAGAAGAAGGTAGCATTAAGATTGTACGATAAGATTGCACAAAATAAAATCTAGTTTATATTGCTTCCTCGTAGCCAATCTGCATGATTGTTGGCGTGGCTTTAACGGGAATTAAAAGCTTCGTGTGGCTGTAACTAGTCACTTAACTCTAAGCAAAGTTCTTTCTGAGTATTTTTATTTATTAGCATAATTTGCAAAAAGAAAAGTAGTATTTTCCATATGAATAAAGATTTAGTTTGAACTGAAATGCCTTATTCTTTGCTAATTTTTGTCCTTTTTATTTGTCATGTGAGTTTGTTTCCTTTTGCGTGGACGTTCCTGGCATCACTGCAGAATGCAACCAAGGAGGCAAGAGCTGTGTTTGCCCAAACTCAGCATATCCTGCCAGCTCAGAAGCTGCAGCATCCTAGATTTTAAGGCATCTCCCATTGCTTTCACAGTGGGAAGTATTCATTGGTTTTGACAGACTGCAAATATTTTGCTTTACTGTTATTTATTGGTTTAAACATTTATTTATTTATTTATTTATTTTAATTTATTGGCTGTTATGAAAGCTTGGGCAGAGCAGCATT